AACCCTTTGTGTCTCTCTGGCAAGATGTTCTGCTCCTGAATCAGCTGGGTGGGTCTTGCCTCTAGCCTCTTTGCAGGGAGTTCTGCTGAAGGGTTCCCTGCTGGCCCTGCAGCCTGGGTCGAATGAGGATCCGCGGGCCCGGGTTGTCTCACTCACTCGCCGGGTCTGCACTCTGGGCCTATTCAGGATCCCGCGGCCTGGGTCATCTCACTCACTCGCCGGGCCTGCGCTCTGGTTCTGTACAGGATCCAGAAGCCTTGGGGTTGTTTCTTGAGTTGCCCTTTCTTTAATTCCAGAGACTTGCTGAGCTGGAAAGACTTTGCAGTACTATAGGCTTTCTCACCTTTCATTTACAGAAGTTTTTATGATACTGGATATATTTTATGTTATCAACTAAATCATTTTAAAATCAAGAAATTGGCAAAATAGAACTTCATATTGTATGTAAAAGAGCAAAGTGAATATTTCTGTTATGGTTTTCTCTGGTAATTCCAGTCAGTAAATAGCTGAGCAGCTCCTACTGCCAGACCCTGTGTGGAGTGGAGCAGAACCGGGACAGTGTGGCCCTGTCCTCCTCACAGGGCAGCCTGGCAGGGGTTCTCCAAGGAAACAGACTGGAGGATGAGTAGAGAGGTTACTGCAGTGAGGCAGAAGGAGGAACCCAGGAAAGAGGCCAGATTGGGCCAGATGACCTGATGAATGGCTCCGAGGTGTCCTGTTTCTTCAAGGTAGATGTGTGGGAATGTTGTGTGTGCTGGACACAGGTGTGTGGACCTGAGGGTGGAGCTGCTGACCTCAGCAGAGACAGGACCTCAGAGACTGAGGTCCTCTAGGATGAAATCGGAGAAGTGGAGGGAAAGAGAGCCTGAGCCTGGAGCTGGCAGAGGAGGTGGAATCAGCAAAGAAAAAGTAGAAAGTGAGGAGGAGAAGGGCGGAGTTACAGAGGAAGAGCACAGCTTGAAGAGTATTCCAGAAGGTGAGTAGCAGGGTAAGGCGGTCACAGCGTCCACAAGGTTGCCAAGTGGTCGATTAAACAGAGGAGCAGAAAATGTTATTTTTGTGCATTGGTCTTTGATGTCCTTAGGAAAAACTTTTTAAAAGATTTGCATGAATAAGAATCCAGATTGAAATGAGTCAGACAATAAGTGGGAGCTTTCAGTGGCCACAGTTTCTGCTTGTTTGTAAGGATGTGTGGGTCTCAGAGTGATCCATTCTACCAGGGGAGCAATGGTGGCAGGAATGAGGAAAAGATAGACAAGAAGACAAAAGCTGGGATAGGTGGTGACTGCTCTGCTGGTTAGCAAGACGACCACTGTGAGCAACTATATGGATATTTATTTGTACCTTTGCAAAGTTAGTAGCATGTAACACTAGGTTGTTTAGTGACTGACAGCCCACATTAACTAATCAGGATGCTTATCTCAGGACTGAGGTAGCTTATCTGCTTTAGGCACTGGGGCCTAGTCCTGCTTATATACATTTGACCAATTTTCTAGCTTCCATATCTCCTAACATGTCAGAGATGGATGTTCCATTGTAGTTAGAGAAGCTTTATTTGGAGAGATCTTTAGAGGACTTTTTCTTACTTGACACCAGTCCAAAGATTTTAAGTACTTGAATTCAGCAGTGTAACCCTATATAGTCCATAATAGTAGCAAGTTATCAGTACAGCTGGTAATTGTCAGAAGTTGTTAGTGACTTGAGCCTTTTACAATGTAGCATATTAATATGGCATTACTTTTCATATCTCATGGTTATACTTTTCTTTTGTATGGTTAAGATTAAGTTAAAGTAAGCCTTGTACAAATACAAATTTAACTTTTACTATCTGACAGGGTCAGTTAAACCTCCTTAGTATTTACCTTGGAACCATGTATAGCACCTCCTAGACCTTCTGTCACTGTCAGCCATCTGGATGAGTCACCGCCATTGTTCGACCAGTTTGCTTTCTGTGAAAGCCTGGCAGATTTTTTTTCTCTCTAGTAAGTCCTTATATATTAACTTAATATCTTCGATCACTTTCCTCTGTGGCTTCATTTTCTCCTTAATCAGGAAATCAGAGACTTAACTGAGTTACAGGATGTCACAGCAGAGATTTTATGTCCTAAGTCTTCACTGACCTTGAAAGGCAAGGGCCAAAATATTGGCTATCATTTAACTCATCTACGTCTAATATTTGATCTCTGAACTTCAGTTGTGGAACATCCAGAAGAGAAGCGTAATGATATTCCCCTGTAACAGAGGCAGTAAGCTTAATATTACTATGTGAATATAAAACACCTTAAACATAAAATGAAACTTACTTTCTAACAATTATGAATATTCTAATATTTAAAGCCCTATAGAATGTTAAAAGACAGCAATGACTTTTTTTACACAGA